GTTTATGGAAATATTTTTGAATTTGTAAAGCAAATAACTATGCCAACAATCCAATGTGTAAGATTGTTTTAATATATAACACTAATTTATCCAATTTATAAAAACCCACTATATAGTATGTGACAATATAACCCTATTCTTAATTTTTCTACAACCCTAAATATTTGAATATAGATGAGGAAAAAACCCTTCAGGATTGAACGGAGGATTTGATGCCAAGGCTTACAAGCTACAATATTCAGTCAACTAGACTACTGAATGTCCAGGTCCATATGAAAACATAGTTTCCTGAAAGCTATGAAATAGCATGTTAACGTTTACCTGTTTTCAATGTTTGTAAACTGCCCAGATGGGCAGCCACATAATTTAAATAAATAAATGAAATCTCCAGGTAGGAATATTTCACAACTATGATTTTATTTATACTTCTAAGGTAAACCTAAATAAAAAGTTAATATTTTCAAGGAAGACTGCAATAGCAAAATATCTAGCATTATGACACTGAAACCATATTCAAGTTTCTAAATCCTAAAATCTTTTAAATTTCTAAGATTCATGCCTTCATGCTCCTTTCCTGTTTATTTTTTTCACTCTTTTCTTTTTCTTTCCATACATACTCCCATACATCTCTACGCTGGGAGAAAAAAAAAACAGTTGTTTACACAAACAAGGAAAATCGTCTAAGTTACTTGAGTAAATTCAATTTAGCTTAAGTGATCCACTATTATTGGGAAGTCCACTAATTTACAGAATCCCAAGCAAAGTCTACCCTCTTAATTAACTCAGAATTGCGGGCTTTACATGATATTTTACAATAATCTTAAATAAAAACTAAGATATATTTAAAAATACTTTAGATTTAACCATTTCTAAGAATAAATTAGCAAAAGCTTAGATTGCCAATAAGAATTAATAAAATGAAGTATATGTACAATGTGTCCAATTTTCAGATTAACAGTAATGAACTGCCTTTTTGACATACATATAAACGAGTTGAAAAATTGCTTAAGCATAAAACACCATAAATGCTTTAATAAAGCAATAAGTAGGGTTTAAAAATAGTAGTTTAAAGTGCTACTGAAAAATTCAAGAAAATCTAGTAAGAACAAAAAACCCTATCTAGATCACTGTGTACAATATAGAATACTGCCATGTACTGTACCTACACATTAAAGCAAGCCTAAAGATTAAAAGGGCTCTGTAAAGTTCTCTTTACTTCCAAACAGTTAAAGCAGCAGGCCGAACCAATAAGGTAACAGCCCATGTAATGGATTTATCACATTTATCTCATATACAAAGCAGTCAGCAACTGTGTAGCCTACTGTCATATTAAAAAATATGAGATCCTTTGTGCTCTGAGCTTGGTTGTTTTCTTGTAGACATTTGCTAGTACTGATGGTATTATCTAGTTTGGTAATGAACAAACTGCAAGAAAATAGCCAAGCTCAGAAAACACCAAGAACCCAACAGTTCAACCCTGTGCTACAAATATTTTCTTCTATTGATAGTAAAAAATATCAGAAATGTGTCCCCAAATAATGGTTAGTATGCTTTTTGAACTGTCTACATTTGTAAAAAGCTTTTCAGATAGCCAATGTATTTTTATGTATTGGCTAGTTTTAGATTTAATGTGCTAATATAGCTTGCTACTGGATTTAGCTAATTGTCAAAAGAATTCTATAAAAGTAGTAACCTAAACATACTTAACATATATACACAAAATAAGATGGAGATTTCAAAGAAAATACTGCAACTTGCGAGGTCATGTTTCTTAAATATAAAAAGCCAATAATCTGATTATGATAAAGGAGAAAATAAAAGTACCATGAAAAGAACTATTAAAAACCTATTTCATTGTTATGCAGTGTATATGTATTTTATGTAGTGTTGTGCCATGCTGAAATAATGATGAGACAAAATTATTTAAATATTAAAATCGAAGTTGAATCAAAGGTTAAAGGAAACTCACCACCATCCCTCTCTCTAACTCTATGAGTATGAATGGTTTTAGCTTTATTGTGTCCACTATTGTCACTGTATTTGTTTTCAGGACTATCGGATCGCCGCAACATTTTATTTGGCGGTGAAGGGTCTGTGGCGTCTCGCATCTTGTCATGCCGATGATCACCACCACTGGGGTGACTCTTTGATGTGTACTTAAGAGCCTGTAAGAAATGTAAAAAAATGTTTAAGTGTGGAATTATACGTAGAATTTACAATGATTTTTAAGATAGTAGCTGACATTTAAAGTATATAGGTAGGCATATTCTAGATTACTATTATTCTTGGACACAATCTCTATGCTATATCACCAACAGTTTTTCAAACAACTCAATTCAAAACAGTTCAAAAATAGTTTGTGTTGCAGCTGTCCAAAGCAATCTGCAGATCTACTTAAGTTATCCAGAATGTGACCCAATACAGATTCTGGATGTTTTATTTTTATTTTCTATTAATGAATTCTATCACTGATTAGTGGAATCTATTAAAAATAAAGCATTTAAAATTCTGACTTAGTTAAAAGACAGTGACACCTTAAGTCCGCAATTTTTTCAAACATGGATGTAATATATTCATGATCTTCCCCTTAATACATAACCAGAGTTTAACAAATAACTCTTCATTTTATAACTCCGAGATGATTCTGTGATGAGGCATTTCATGATGATACTTTGTCTCTATCTAAAACTTATTTTTATAATTTATCCAAGAATTTAATTTTAAGTATTTTTGCTTAATTTTAATCAATCTCATTTATGAAGACAGCAATTAGGTATTTTGCAGAAACAGAGGTTATTCAGAGACTACGAATTTAATAAATTCTCAGACTATGTGTAGATAGGTACAGAGCAACTGCTACACCTGTACTTTCATAGCAAAATCACTTTGTGCTGTATTGAATGCAACCTAGAAGCAGCTTTAGTTAACAGCTCTTCATCGCAATTGTTTTGCCTAGTGGATGTTTACACAGGTTAGGTTGTTATTTAGTACAGCATCCAAATATTAAGCTTGCCTTGATACCTGATATACTTTGAAGGGTCATATTATTATTTTCATCCTATTCTTTGGTGGAGCAAAACCGTGGGCCAGAAAAAGGTACAAACCAAAGTTGTGGCACACTCCCCCACGAGTCTCCAACAATCTGCCCGAATTCCTCCACTTCCACACACCCCACCCCCAATTTGCAAGCTCTTTTATGAATAGGATTGAAGAACTAGAATTCCCCACGGCCTTATTTCCATCACCCCTCCCCCCCCCGCGCTAAGGGTCAGGGGCCCAGGGTCCTTTATTGTCTTAGGGAAGAGTTCCTATAAACAGCTGCCCTGCAAATTAGACTCCCACCGGTTTCCTACGGAGGAGGAAGAGAAAAAAAACAAAAAC